TTGCTTTCTCTCGCCCTGCCTTCCTTCCTCCCTTCCTTCCTTCCTTCCTTCCTTCCTTCCTTCCTTCCTTCCTTATTTCTCCTTATCTTTAATCCTTCCTTGCTTGCTTCCTTGCTTCCTTCCTTCGCACACATAGAGCAAAATTGCACAAAGAACACAACCACCTAAAGGCACACAATGATGACAACCGCTGCTTTGTGGTGTTTTTTTTTTCCTGGATGAGATGTCTCCGAAGCCTCATCAGAGAGTCTTTCTTTGCTCACGAAGCATCTGTGCTTTGCTTTCAAAAGGAAAGGGTGCTGGTTTGGCAAGAGGACAGTTTGCACAAGTTCTGGGAACTTGGGCTAGAAAGGAAGAGTGTTCTCTCTCTTGCTGTCGGGCAAAGGCGAGGGATGTCATCATCCTTGAAAAATTCCTCGCTGGAATGTCCGTTGGGGTTGGATCAATTAAACCTGAAGAGAATAAAGAATTTACGGCCCCAGTCCATAGCTAACCCTAGAGGCACAGCCTGACCAAAAACAGAGATGGGGAAAGTAACTTTTGTGAACTGTAACTTCCTGAGTCTTGGCTAGGGGTGTTGCGGAGCTGTTGTCCGAGAACTTAATGGTTCCGGCCTCTGGCCCAGGGTGGTGGTTGGGAGGGACCATCCGAGAAGGCCTTGGTGTCAGAGGTCATGGGGTACACCTGGAGAGCTCCTTTGGCGGCTGGCTTCCATCACCTCCACTGGTCAGGTTCTGAATGTGCAGAATTTGAAAGCTCTGCCCGAGACTCCGGAGAACCACCTGTCCGTCAGGAGGGGTAGTCCTGAATAAGGTGGGTTTTAGTGCTCCCTCCACTCAGCAGTTTCTCAGGTGCCTGGAAGATCTGTAAGCCCACAATGATGCGCATTGGGACCGTCTCTTAGATTTCTGCATGTAAGGTGTGGAGGCGCAGATGGCAAGTGGGTGGGATGCGATGGGTTGTTCGGTAACTTGCGTTCCATGGGGAGATAAAAATAGGGGAGAAGTCTGTTCTTTCCCACTCTTTAAGGCCAACATTTTCCAAGGGACCCTCCCAGCCTTGGCCCGGGGTCTCAGGAAGAAGCTTCTCCAACCCTTTTTGCCCCCCTTCTGCTTCGACCCATCGCAGATCCTTCCTTCCTTCCTTCCTTCCTTCCTTCCTTCCTTCCTTCCCTCCTTCCAAGATGAGCGACAGCTGCTGAGTGTAGAACCCAATGAGTCATCCTGGTTCCTCAATAGTCACCTCAAAGATGATGTCAGCTCTTTGATGCCATCCATGACTGGAAGGATTCCACTAATGTGGCTTTGCCTTTGATCTCTGCGTTGGCTGCCCTTAATGGAGAATGGCGGTAATAGGCTCCATGGAGAGCCACAGGCGACTCAGATCCTTGTGATCTGAGATTCCCCAAGCCTTTCTTGCAGTGGGTGACGTTGGCCCCTGGAGAAAATGGCTGATTTGTTTTTAAGTGTACTACCTTGACAGTCTGATGGGTGGGTTTAAGTTAAGTGGGAGCTGCTGTACATTGAGATGGGATTTCTGGTGCATGGCAAGGCACCATCTGTGGTCAGGTCTGGATCCTGAAGTATAAGAAGTATTAATGGCCTGGTCAGCAGGACGGTACTTTTTGTACTCCAGCTACCAATTATGGGGACTTGATCCAGAAAAACATCTAGGAAGCCAAATTTAGGCTGACTATCAGGAAAAAACGTGTTAACTATTAGAACAGTTATGGACAGAGGACAGACTGTGTTTGCCTTCACTGTGGAAGGGACGGTCACTCTCAAATTGGCCTTCTCAGCCACACTAGGCGCTGTTCCAAGACCTCCATACAGAGCACGTGATCCTCGTCTCTCGAGACTGAAGGATGCCTACTAAATTAGAACAGTACAACAATGGAACCGATGACTTTGGGAGGTGGTGAGCACTCCAATGCTGGAGGCATTTGTGAGAAAATTGTACTCATCTGTCAGATCTGCTTTGATTTGGATTCCTGCCTTGAGCAGGGGGCTGGATTCCAATTCTACGATTTTGTGATTCTACTTGCTTTGCTTCTAGACCAGTGGTTCCCGATCTTAGGCCTCCAGGTGTTCGTGGGCTACAATTCCCAGAAATCCTAGCCAGCAAATCTAACAGTGAAGACCTCTGGGAGTTTCTGTCCATGAACATCTGGGGATCTGAGGTTGGGAGCCCCTATTATAGACAACTGATCACCCTTAGTTCCGTTCTGGCCTTGATGTGTGTCCCACCCTGCAGGGAAGCCAGAATGGTTCTGAGCTCCCGTATCTGTACCGAACTCCCCAGGAAGCTGAGAGAGACCTGGGGAAGGTTTCTAGCTTGCCCTTCAAGACAGTAATTGTCCAGAGATTGTAATAGCCCACCCCCTCCAGATACACTCACCCACACACTATAACCCAGCCGTTTGCAGTCTTCAGAATAGGGTTAGACTAGACTTCCCTTGAGAGTCCCCTGGACTGCAAGGAGAACAAACCTATCCGTTCTGAAGGAAATCAACCCTGAGTGTTCACTGGAAGGACAGATC